CTGGGCTCCGGCGCGAGCCTGTCCCTGTCAGGCGAGAGGGGCGAGGATCATATTTTTATTTTGGAAACTGAAAAGTGCTCCCGGGGCCGGCGATCATGAAGGGGAAATCCCTGAATGTCCTCTCCAGCCAGGAGGCAGGGCTGCCGGCTGCGCTACGAGAGGCGGCAGCCTCCTACAGCACCACTATCGGCACCGCGAGGACATAGCACCAGACCGCGCTCCCGGCCCCCGAAACGACAACTTTCCTACCATCTTGGCGGCCGGGGAAGGGGGGCCGGGGGGACGAGCGCACCCGCGCCCGAGAGAGCACCGACTCCGACTTCTCATCTCGGGGGGAAGGCGCCCCCCGGCCGTCCACGCCGGCGCCCGGGGGCAGAGCGGGCCCGCGACGGGGGGAGCTGCTGCTCGAGAGACGCGCTCCTGGGCACCCGGGGGGCAGTGCGCCTGCATCTTGTGGTGGAGAGAGATCTTGACAGGACCCCGGGTTCCCGGTGGTGATTGTGTTCTGTTTTCCGTGTCGGTGACGGTGGTAGGTTACATTTTTTATTTTTATTTTATTTTTTTCAGGCTTATCATGGTGTTTTTTTTTCTTCCCCTCCGTTACAGATCTAAGGTCAGTGTCTGGTGGTCCGTCGATACATGGGTACTTCAAGGGACTTCGTGGCCACTTGGTCTCTATTTGTCAGTCTGTGTATTTATATGTTTTTATGGAGAGTTGTTTCTCTGTGTGATATGGAAAATGTTGTGTTGTCTATCGCTCCCTCCAAAACTGGGATTGCCGAAAGGCGATTGATTGCAAAGGGGTGTCTTTTGTCTCCTTTTCCCAAAGCCACGTAAGTAAAACCTGACGGACGGTCCAGGAAGGCAGGATCCAGATGTGCAAACCCCACGTGCGCACCAAGGCAGAGATCACCAGCGGTCAGATGCAGCTGTGGTGTAAGTGACCACGTTCCTGGAAACCTCATTCTGTTATGGTCTTGCCAGGAAGAAAGGTTACTGTAAAACTGGAAATAGATTCTGATGACCAGCTTTAGGTTTTAAGTAGAATGACTTATGAAGAATTCATTATCGCCAGGCATTTTTAAAATTTTTTAATTTATTTAGATTTTTTTTTTGGGGTAAGGCGTAAATCTTGGGTGCATGACACATGTTGCTGTCCACTTTCTGTTGTGTCACAGAAGCGAGCGGTGTCTTTTTGTTGGAGTTGAAATGTTGTCTGCTCAGGACTTCCAGTGTGCTGCCGGGCTGTATAAATTACTTTTAATGTGTTTCGGTGGATGGTGGATGTCATCAATCTTTTTTTTTAATTAGCAAAGCTTAGATGAATAGCATCCGAGTTCCCGGGAGCCTAGGTAGAGCTAGCGCAGTGGTGAGAGAGGAAGGTGATGCCCACTTGCAACACTTCCCATAGAACTCTGACGGGGGAGAGTGAATGGCAGAGATACTTTCCTACGTTTGTGAGAAAGAGGAGAATCTTAGAAAACAACCAGAGGATCATTTTGCTTGTTCTCCAGGCCATGGGGAGGCTTATACTTAGTTATTTTTCTGACAGATGTTGGCTAACCTAATGGGAATTGATTTGTAATCTGACTGCCTTGAATCTCTTGCATTTTAAATTTATTACAGTGCATTAAGAAATAACTGATGACTCCACTTCAACATGTTTATGTTTTGAGCTCACAAATTTAGAATTTTAAAGTAAGTTCTGGTAATGCATGTATCGTGGTATTTTCATGCTGACCCCCATCTTTATCATCTAAGTTTCCCCCCCCAAATGCCAGTGTAGCTGAATAGTTGAGGTGTTCTTTTGTGGGTTTTTTTTCCCTCTGGTAGGAAAATTTAAAGTAATTAAAATTAACTGATTTTTATCATCTTGGAAATTTGGGTTGTGAAGTTCTGTTCAACTTACAAATCTTTTAAGCATTTGGAGATCAAACATATTTGTCGTAACAAGGAAATTACTTCTCTTAACATAGAACTCTAAGGGTCTTGAAAAACGTGTTTTGAACAACTTGTTCCTTGAACATGACGTGACTTTATAGATAATGCTTTGAATTTTTTAAGAAATTAACATGTGTTTGTGCTGGCTGCACCCATTTATGCAATCCGTCTAGTGACCAATAAACTTGTTTATATGATGTGTATCTGGGGATAGGGATATGGTGCATAATGTTAGCGTTTCAGGGCCTTTCTCTTTATAAAGCTTGACTTGTACATGGTTGTAGTCCATAATGTTTATCCACCAGCTGAGCTAAGTAGCCCAGACTTAAGGAATTATAACCCAACCGAGAAAGAAATCCCACTTCATTTGCAATACTAGAGGCCTGATGCAGGAAATTCGTGCAAGGGGCTCAGCCCTCCTCACCGCTCCAGCTGCTGCAGGTCCCTCCTACCCCCACTGGTCAGAAGGTCGTTGGCCTACTGGTCTAATTAGCATATTAGCTCTTTATTATATAGGATTGGTGAATTTGATTGGTCAGTGTATATTTCAGTTGGTAATTGAACTCATTGCAGGTACGATGTCTCTAATTCCTAGAAGCTGCAGGTGCTAACAAAACTACTGACATAATGGAACTTAAATAATCCTGTTTGCCCAATAAAATTCCCAGTACTCAAATTTGGCTAACGTTATTGAGGAACTAATGCATCTTGGTAACCTCACTGGGCACTTTTATGCATGTGTTCTCATTTGATTCCCCCAAGAGTATTATTTTTTCTTTCTTTCCTCCTCCTTTCTCTTTCTCCTTTTAAATACAGTTGAGATAACTGTCTTCACTTTCAAGTAGTGTAGACCTACTTGGCTCTAAAGCTTTCCAGTAAGATTTCAAAACTTCCTCCCTCTCTAGACTCTCCAAGGTGCCTGGAAATGCTAACTTCCTGCCATGTGTTCTTTGCCAGAAACAAACTTTGAGCACCCAGCAGCTGGAGCCCTCTTCGTTCCTTAGTCCCAACCAGTGGCCTATTTCATCCTGGTGAAGTCTAATATCTAAGTCTATCCATTGTTTTGAGGATGCAAAAAAAATGTATTTTTCAATTGAAATGCACTGTCTTTATGGCAAATGTTTACTGACACATCACCAAGTGTTTAAAAAAGACACTGACCGCTGACATGGCTATACAAATTCAGTGGGGGTTCTGCTTGTCTTTTGGAGGACTAGGGTTGTAAATATAAACCTTCCCTAGTTATACAAATGCTTTTTCTGACATTTCTAAAGGCAGACTCAAAAGTCATGCAAAGAATCCCTCGCTAGTGTAAAAAAAATTCCCAACGAGGTAAAAAAGTTAGAAGTGAAATGTGTGTAAAAGCTAAAGTTTTTAAAAACCACAGTTATGATGACCATAGACACAAATTTTTTTTCACTTTAAGTATTTCTGTTTTGGAAACATTTGCTGGTAATGTTTCTATCTAAAACAAGGATTTTGGTTTTATTGTGGTTATTGTGCCCTGCAAGGAAATGCTTCTGAGACAAGCGTATTTGGCAGATATCCACATCATAGCTTCAGATTATTTAAGTGTGAATTTTCTGCAATATGGGTTCAACTATAGTCAAAACACACATGATCGGGTAAACCCCCAAGTTCTAACATGGGGCAGGCACTAACCTGGGGACTATTGCCTGATGCCAAGTTAGAAACCAAGGAAGTCTATTATTTTTAAATCCCCACATGGCCCAAAAGATACCCCTAAGTACCAGATGGTCACGGGCAGCAGCAGGGGCAAGACATGTCCCTGGTGCCATTTCACTGCCTTCTCCTCCTGGTGCAGGCAGAGAAGGTGATGTCATAGCCTAGGCCAGTGGTCGGCCAACCGGCTCGCGAGCCACATGCGGCTCTTTGGCCCCTTGAGTGTGGCTCTTCCACAAAATACCACGTGCGGGCGCACATGTACAGTGCAATTGAAACTTCGTGGCCCATGTGCAGAAGTGGGTATTTTGTGGAAGAGCCACACTCAAGGGGCCAAAGAGCCGCGTGTGGCTCGCGAGCCACAGTTTGCCGACCACTGGCTAGGCTATGAGCATTCTTGGGCCACTCTTCTGACTCCTGATCGTCGGCTAAGGAAAACAACTTTCCTTTCCACCTGAAGTCATGTTTTAAGTAATGATTAGTGGAAAGAAACACCCTGAAGCAGTATTAAAGATTGGATCTGGGTAGAATTATAAGTGATAGCTTTTTCCATAATTTATAATGAAAAAATCTGTGTCCCAAGAGGTGGTTAGCTAACACATTGTAGTAAGAAGAGAAATCCATAGAGCCCCAGAATAATAGGCAGAGTGCAACACAAAGGTGACAGCATTCATTTCTGTCACATTCCTGGTGAAGCAAGCTTTTATAGGTCCTCTGGGAACTTAGCCACTATTTCCATGGGAAAATAAATTCCAGTTTCCAAACAACTAATTTACTGGAACACAGCCCATTAATAAGTTTGGACTTCCTGTATATTCATTACAGACTTCCAGAATTCAATAGTAAGGTTGGGAAAAGAAGGAGAAAATCTTCTCATTCAATCAAAATAAGGAGTAACTATTAACACAATCCAAACAGTTTGATTTAAATTCAGGTAAGGAAAATTATCAGATATAAAATGGGGAGGCCAGTTATAGTACACCAGGAAGGAGAAAAAGACCTCAGTCAGTAACTAAAAATTGTATTATTACCTTAATTGAATACATTGGTGTTTCTATTTTATGCATATCTGGTTGCTATATTATGTTACAGTTGGTATTTGCATTTTGTTTAATCTTTTTAAAAAATACTTTTTTTATTGATTTCGGAGAAGAGGGAAGAAAGAGATAGAAACATCAGTGATGAGAGAATCATTAATTGGCTGCCTCCTGCACACCCCCTACTGGGGATGGAGCCCACAACCTCGGCCTTTGTCCTGACTGGGAATTGAACCATGACCTCCTGGTTCATAGGTCGATGCTCAACCACTGAGCCACACTGGCCTGGCTGTTTTATTCTTAAGAAAAACCAGAAGGAAATGAGGAGACTGAAGTAGATAAGAATCTATTAAAAATTACCCACCCTTGTCCATTAAGCTGATGCTGTTTCTTACCCACTCAACAAGCCCTGGCCATTCTTGTCTATCATGATGCCCCAGCTCTCAGCTGGGCCAATTAAATCCCACCCTGCTTTGATGCCTTGCTCAAAATCTTGTCCCTGAAGTGTTCTGATGCCAACCTGATTCTAGTGACCTTATTCTTATTTTAATACCTTGCGTTGTTTTGTGGGGCCGGGGGCATTGCTTCCCTGTGTTCCTCTTATGCAAGAGGCACAGGGGTTAAGAGCTCAATCTCCAATCCAGGCCATCTGGTTTAGAAACTTGGCTCCACCATTTTTCTTGGTACCATGACCCTGGGCCAGCTACTTAACCTCTTAGTTTCCTCCTTTGTAAAAACAGGAATAATAATAGTACAGATCTCATTGTGTTGTGGTGAGGATTAAACAGCATAGTGCATCTAAGGCACAAGGCAGGATCTCCAGCTGCTCTCTTTGGTTAACTGCCAATAAATACCTTACAGGCAGTATGGCTCAAGGTCAGGGGTTATTGTTTTGTTTTGTTTTTAAACAGTACCAAGACAGTGGACTAAGTATTAGTCACAAGTTGAATTCAACATAGAAAAAGGTGAAAGAAGACCATGATTATGGCATAACAAATATTTTCATTAAAACAGAAACAGGCTACTGATTTTCCCCCCAGGTATTTTTTAATATCCAGATAATGGAAAGTCTGCAACAAAGAATTTTAAGTGTAGCTGAGCTTTTGATATCCTGATTCAGATTCAGTCACAGTCTTAAAAAATATAAAGTGAAGGTACAGGAAGAGTATATACAGAACACACAACAGGAGAATATTGGGACCAGTTAAGGCCTCCTTCATTAGACATTCTAAAGAAGGAAATGCATTTAAATTTCAATATGAGGTATTGAAGAAGGCTTTTTTTGACCAGGCATATAAAGAGTTATCAAAAATCTCCAAAAAGAGTTGTCTCACAAAGGGAATAGTAGATTATTGACATGTGTAATACTTCCAACTAACATTATAGGACAGGTACTAGTTTATTGTTTTAAAATGCAGTGTCAGGCAGTAAACAAAGTGTGGGGCATAAATCAGGAAACCACGTGTATATCTCAGAGCTAATATTTATTTACTAGCTGTTCAGACGGGCAAGTTCCCCAGCCTTTTCAAACCTCATTGCCCCCGTTCTTAATACGATTGCTTGAATAAGATGATTTGTAGGACCATATGTAGTATAATATCTGATATATAACAGTCACTCCATAACTGTCAATTTCTATTTCTTTCTTCACTGAATTCAAAGAATGCTTGGGATCAAAGTAGGACTTTAATTAGAAAACTGAAAAGGGCCTTGCTATAGGATCAATTATTAAAGTATTGAAGAACAAATATCAAATTAATTAGAAATCTACCTACCTATTTACTATTTTCTTGCATGATTTATTTCTCTTTTTGATTAAAGTTATTGGTGCTCTTGAGTACATGAAAACGTAACTTTTAAAAATACAATTGAACTACATATTTTCACAGTAAGAATAGGCTCAGCTAACAAAACCACAAGCATTTATTCACTGACATGTGTGCCAGACTGCTAGGCATTTCCCTAGCACTTGGCTCTAACGAAATGATTACAGGTGTCTTCTTATCCAGGGTACTAGGTGATACAATAGCAAAAGACCTTACCTGAACTCTGTGGCATAGTGTGTTTGAAACAGGGAACTTAAGAAATCAATTTAGCAGCTTATGACCTAGTAAAAAGAATAGAGCCCTGGCCAGGTAGTTCAGTTGGCTGGAGCATAGTCCCAACAGCCAAGGTTGCAGGTTTGATCCCTGGCCAGAGCACATACAAGAATCAACCATTGAATGCATAAATAAGTGGAACCACAAATCAGTGTTTCCCTCAAATCAATCAATAAAATATTTAAAACAATAGAATGATGTAGAATAGAAAATATCCAAAGTTGTCGTGGTCAAAGCATTATTTCATGAAACAGCTCTTCCCAGTTCCTTATGTGTATATGAATATTTTGGTGGGTTGGGACAAAAAATGTGAATACTTCACTGTATGTTATAAGGCTGAAATTTGTAGCATCTTACGGTGGTTAAGTAGTCAATAAGACATTCCCTGTCCTCATTGGATTTCCAGTCTAGGCATAAGATGAAGGTCTGAACCGGCCTGGCTGATGACCATAAAAATGATGGGGGCAGAGAGGAACTTGAGAGCATTGGGCTTAAAAATATTGTTTCCTTTTTTTTTCTTTTCTTTTTTTTAACTGCTGGCCAAACTAAACATGTCTGTAGCAGATTTGTTGGCTGATGAGAACATGTGACACGGGATAGGTTATCTCATCAAAATGCAGCTTGTCCATGCAACTTAGCTTGCCAAATCTCAGAGACACGAAGGAGCCATTGTGTGGTCAAAAGAATGAAAGAAAACGTAGGACTTCTCTGCTTGGAAAAATGAAATCAACAGGGTTGTGATTAAAGTCAACTAAGGAAGTAGATCAGCTGAGCATGAATTAAATTGACCTGTAAGTCAAAGATAACTTGAATCTCAAGTGAGGTATTTAAGATTAAAAGAAAGTATTTTTTCACACAACAAGTCCTGACCATATAGAACTTAATTCAAAGACAGAATTGCCGAGACCGGCTTGGCTCAGTGGATAGAGCTGCAAAGTTGAAAATAGGAGACTCGGCCCAAAGTGGCTAGCCTTCTCTCAGTGAAGTATTTCTCCTCCCCCCCCCCCCCCAAATTCCGCTGCCTCAATATTCTAAATACCAAATTCTGACAAGTTGTTTGACCACTGTGTCATTCAGAGCTTCCCTCTGCTAATGAGATCAAAAAGAAATTTCAGCTCCCCTGACCATTATTCTTAGGTATTTATTTTTAATTTTTTAAATATATTTTATTGATTTTCCACAGAGAGGAAGGGAGAGGGATAGAGAGTCAGAAACATTGATCAGCTGCCTCCTGCACACCCCCTACGGGGGATGCACCCGCA